CCTTGAAGATTGGTCGCTGCTGGTAGCTGCCATGTTTGTTGAGGAACGCCTCCTCTTGCACTCGTATGGCGTGCCCTCCATGGATGGCTTTGACGCAAAACTGCACGCCCTTCACGGCCTATCCGGCAGGTGCCTTTGCAGCTGAGGCCCCCCAAAAAGGTGACTGTGGTTTCTTGGCAGTTCTTTCCTTGACGAGAATCCTAAGTCTTTGCACATCATGCCAACAATAGTTAGTTATGCCAATGCCATTTCATCCCGCTCACTTTCGGGGAGATCTCAGATATTATCGCGTGAGGCCCGCGTTACGCCGTCCTCGCCGCTCCCATCCACCTCCAAACGAATGCGTGGTGAACTCGCTGAGGTGATGGTCTCAACACCTGCATTTGCCCTCAAGATGGCCGTAAGGACCCTAAGCATTGCACGCACCTGGAATGCCCCAGGCCCGGTCCCGCGTTTGGTCGGTGCCGGTGCGGAGTTTGGGCCGGCGAAAAAGAACCGGTGTATACCGGTGTTGTTTTTTCTTTTGGGGGGGACGTAAAGCAACCTTTTCTCACAGACGGACCAAAAGAAGCTTTTCGGATTGAATGCCAATGGTGTTCACTAAGAAGGTGATTCTTGGCTTGGATGCCTGAGATCCTTCGAGCCAGTATGGGTTCACTTATATAGGAGCTTAACATCACATAGTTTAGAACGTGTATACGTCATACGTGCGGTGAGTCCTTTTGGTTTCACCCCCGGTCTCATCTCTACGCCAGTACGCCAGGCTCCCTGCGTTGGAGCCAGGAGAAGGCAGTGGAGCATGACTTTGACCAGTGGAGTCAGTAGAGTTTGGATGACTTTGATGACTTTGCAAGATTTGGGAAGAACCATTAAGAGGCAGTTGAGATGGTTCAAACCGATCAATCATCAATCCTTACGTAATGACATTTTCATTTGGCAGGTATGGTTGATATGTGCCGCATTGTTTTGCAGTTTGTTTGTGGAAGAATGATAGAGAGAGAGAGAGAGAGAGTTGACCCCTAACAGACCCTAAGATATTGGAGGAGATGCAGCCACAAAGAGAAGGCCTTTTTCAATCCTGCTCACATGCTACAGTACCATAGAAGATATAGAAGTGGCTGCCGTGGTGCAGTTCTGCGCAAAAACTGCCGCTGCGGCAGGCGAATGCTGTCCGGGTGTGAGCTTCCCAGCTGCGGATGGCTGCAACACCTGTATATGCCCAGCCTCCGGCCAGATGTCGGAGCGTCCGAGGGGGGGAAGTTTGGGAACGGCTTGGCCATGGAACGGCTTGGCGGTGAAGCCCGTAGATCACAGCCTGCGGTTCTTGGCGGCTGTGGCCCTGAAGAGCAAAGGAGGTTGAGTTTCATGGTACTTTGGCAGCCCATGATTCAGCCGGAGTGAGATTTTGCCGAGTGGGGAAGATCCGGAGCAATCTGACCCAGAAGCGATAGGGCCTCACACCTTTTAGTTTCGTTCTGGGTGTTGCATGACTTTTTCTTCACCAACAGCATGAAAAACCAAACAGGTGCAGTTGGGCAGGCTCAAGAAGCAGGGGTCTGCTGATTTCAGACTTCGCCTTCCAAAAAGCCTCAACGTTGAGCTCTGGCCCACGACAGAGTTGTGGCCCAGAGGCTGAGGCGCTTCAGCTTATCCGAACAGCCTATCCATAGTATATCAAAGGGCTTTATGTGCTTCCAGGACGCAGCCGCATGCACGCTCATGGCCTGCCCAGAACAAGCCCGCAGAGACAGAGGCCAGGAGTCCAGGTCGCTTGAAAACAAGAGACTCCACGCATGAAATCATCAGTCCTCCGGTAAGAACTTTTACCTACATCCTAAACTCCCAGACAGGACAGACGACAAAGACTGATGCACAGCACCTGCGCGATGTTTCGGAGAAGATGTTTTTGATCAGTGGCTGCTTTCCAGTGTTCATGGAGGGAATCCCCAAAGATTTGAGATCACCGGTCAAGAGAGAATGCATCTTCGACAAGACGAGCCGAACGAAAAAACGAGCAGTTCATCCTCCCATGCCAGAACGCTGCCAGCCCTTTGTGGCCTTCCCCAAGGGAGATGGCCGCTCGGATTGGAGCCGTGAAGCGGACCTTCGGACTCGGAGCGATCCACGTCAAACATCCAAGCGAACTGGAACGAACGAAGTGCGAAGCGAAGCGTGGCGCGACAAACGCGCGCCCATCGTTTTCTGGTGGTCCCTAACAGGGGATCCTTTCTGGATCCCATTTGAAGCATGCTCATGCAAGAGTGTCTACGACACCCTGGTGATGCGGTGATGAAGTCCCAACGCAGCCTTCAGCCTTGAAGAGGCGGCATGTTTGGCGTCCTTTGGATGGCCAGTCGATCGGCGAAGACCCTTCAAACCCGACGAGAGACGACATGTCAAACTCCACCGGAGACGACCGCAGAGTTTGGATTCAAGATCCACACGGGTCGTGGGTGTTACCTGCAAACCAGGTCTTTTTGGTGCCTGACCTTTGGGCATTCAAGCGAATACGGGCCTTTTAGAATTAGGCGGCAACATCATTCGGCATATTGTAATAATAGGAGAACTTGAGAGATGTTGCCGGCTTCCTCAGCTAAATCCACGCAGATTTGAATGACATGTACCCACCCCATCCTAAGGCACCAACACATGCACTTGCCCATCGAGTGGTTTGCGAAGAGAAGCACATTGCACTTCACTCCCTTGTCCTGTACCGGCGGAGGCCCCTGCATGGGCTAGACGCTTGTTTGTGCATTTGTTTGGGCTGAAAGTGGTCCCCTCAGAGTGTCACTGGTGGGAAGCACAGCCTAATCCACAGCCCAGTGCTGTGGAAAGACCAGGTAGAATGAGGACTTCTAAGATACCTGGAGTAATTGTGGCTTGCTTTTGCAGCTCGTGATACTTATTCTCCCGTCAAGAAGCATCTAGTGGCTTCGAGAACAACACTGCTCAGAATCAAAGTGCCAGGATGCCACTCGAGTGCTCTTGCCTTGAGTTCAAGGCAGGAGCTCACTTTTTGTGACAACCCTCCCCACCTTGCGGAGGATCCAAGACAGATGCCTTCTTGACCCAAAAAGCTTGGTGTTCTTCCTTTCATCTTCCTTTGAGGAGAGTTGCACAGAGAAGTGTCTGCGGCTGTTTGATCTATTTTACGGAACAAAGGCCAAACTGCCCATCCACACAAGAGACCGTGCGGACATCCATCCTGGTACAGCTTCCAAGCAGCTTCCACCAGATACCCATGGTGTAGATCTGATCAGGCTGATGAGGGCCTTGTGTTTCTGAGCCAGGCTTTGAAAGAAGCCTTACCACGACTTTTGTGATGAGTCAGGAGCCCGGGAGAGGAGGTTGGGTGCGCCTTTGGGTCATCAGACGATCTCACACAAGGCCTAAGACCGAGTTTGGAGATAGGATGTCCTGTCTAGAGTGTGTTCAAGGATTTTTTTCTTGCACTCACCTTCAAGATTATTCCAAGAAGGCAGGTGTTTGGTGAGTCTAGACTACCTTTGCAAGTAGCACCTCTAGGCCTTTGCAGAGCACAGCTTTAGGCAGATTTTGGTCGTACTCTTCATAGCTCTCAGCATGGTCTTGAGCCAGATCTTCGCAGTCTGCCAACTGTTTCAAGGAGCCGGAAAGGCCCCTGGAGATAGTCGTCTTTTGAGGGTTGGGTCGTGACGCAATTTGATGCACTTTGCACTTTTGCCCTATTTTGAGTCGCGAGCTTCATCCCATCGGCGGAGGAGGCTGAGGTAGTTATTACTATATATTTATATATACTTGTTTTTTTTTCATAAACGTCTCATGTCTTGACCAAGCTGGACTCGAGTTTCTGTTTTGGCCACCGCTTTGGTGTTGGAGTCTCGCGGAATTCCCTGGAGCGTGGGCTCCTTGCACGCCTGAAGCTAGCCGAGCGTTCCTCAGGCGCCGTGCTCACGCAAGGAAGGGTGCAGGTAGCAGCAGGTGATACTTGCTGCACACATGCTGTACCTGCACCCTGCACCTGTGGAGCTTAAGGAGAGGTCCATTTCCCGATGGATTGAAATACTGTAGGTATATATATACATAATTACAGTGACAAATGATACATCCATCCTGGTCATTTGGACAAGAAGGGGCTTTCCACATGGCGAACACCCATGTGTGATCATCATAGACACCAACAGCAACGCCTGATCCGCGGAGTCAAAGGAACTGGACCAATCCGTTTCAGGGACCGGTGGCCCGCGCGACGCCTAGCCGAACAGCCTGGGACTGCGCGTGCCTGTATAGCTTTGGCGCTCGGATGAGCCTTGGGACATGGAGACCGACCGACGGGACTAGGATGCACATCTGAAGCTGCAGGTGTTTGGAGCTCGTGGAATTTGGGGTCACAGATGTTTTGCGCAGGGGTTGATCACCCCCGCCCCAAATAAGAAGGCTTAATTACTTCACATCCACAGACAGCTGCACCATGAGTCTACAATTCGCTGGCTGCTATGCCGCGGTGAGCAATATAGAGAGTTCTGGTTTCAAAGATCAACTTTTTGGGGCTTCCACACCTACATCTAGGGAGGTGGAGGTGTGCACTCCCAATGGTCACCGCAGGGGAGTTTTGCTTGCAGTTCGGCTCTCATTCTCATCAGGAATCGGTGGCCCATCAAAAATCACCCCAGAAAGAGGAGGCACTGGAGACCCAGTTCTTCTCCATATCTCCAGTTTTACTTTGTCTGGTAGTTGAAAAGGCCGAGACTTGGTAGTGGCTGGTTTTAGAGATCGTCCTCTCCCAAGGCCGAGACTTGAGTGCCGTTCTGGTGCCGTTCCATATGGATGGGCCAGTGGCAGGAAAGTGGCTTGCCACGCTGAGGCACTTACCTACCACAATCCTATCAAAAGAATCCTCCACCAATACAGTGGCGAGAGGAAAAGACGGCGCCGTATTCGTGCCGTCCGTGGCTGTCGAGGGGAGGCCCGACTGAGCTGTCGACACGGCCATGTCGTGGCGTTTGCACGGGCGTGCCAAGTCCTCCCTGGATCTCTTCTTCGTCCTTGCAAACGCCTGGAGTGCTGGCGCTGTGCTGGTCGTGCAGCTACCGGAGGCAAGAGATGGCAAGAGCTTGGAGAAGCAAATTCGAGGAAGCAAGTTGAAGTGAGGATGAGGATGTTTCTTCCTAACTTGCAGTGTTCGTTTTGCGCAGATTTGTGTGTAGGTCACTGTCCAACACTGTCCAACTCCCAGATGCCCAGATCGGCCCGACCACCGCATCGGAGGCCTTCAGTTTGACGTCGGACTGTGAAGTGTGGCCTTTGACGCCGTGGTTGCGCTGGGACGAGGCACATGAGGGGAGGAGACTAATTAGTGACTAGTAGTCAGCGGCCCAACGACATGGGGGTGGTAGATGTGGTAGGGTGACTGGCCACCATTGGGGCAAGAAGTGCAAACATTTGGAGTCAGCCCGAGTCATCTCGAGTCATCTCATGATCTCACCACTGGGCCCCACTGGTAGTCTTCATGCTAATAGATTGAGAATTGTAGTTTTGAGATGTTGTATGATGTTGTTATTAAATTCTTCGGGTACTTCTGAGTCGTTGCACCACTTGGAGTCCAATGGTAGGAACCGACTTCTCCCAGATGATCTCCCTTCTTTCCAAGATTTCTTTGAACAAATTGAGCGCCACTTCGTGGCACTGGGCTTGGGGCACTGGCCTGTGACGTCCACCATCATCCACTGGGCCCTAGCAATATACCCATGATATACCATGATAGTCAGACATTGGGCCCTGGTAATGGGATATACCCATGATATACCATGATAGGGCATTGGTAAAAGAACCACCTGGAACATCGCAGTATAAGTCCATGGGAAACCCCCCACGCTCCGGAGCTTGGGAGCCAACGACGCTCTCTCGAGGTGGCTTGTACTTCCAGCAATGCCAGTCTGGTGCGGAGCTCGAGCCGAGCCAACTTCAGATCTACAGATCTCACCAAAAGTACAAATGAATACAAATGAACCAACAAGTCATTCCAGTCATTCTCTCTCTCTCTCTCTATAAACAAAAACAGTTATTAAACAGTGATAGATTAGACATATTATACATATGTATGTCGTCAACATCCATTAAGCACCAATCTCTTCTTTTATTCTACAAGGTTACACACCCACCATTTTCGAGAGATGCCAGATGTGTCACCGCACCAAGGCCGTGAACTTCACCGCGCCCCTGCCGTCGGGCGCGGCGCTGGCGCTGCGGATCGCTCCGTCGGGGCGCTGGCGGTGGAAGTGGAGCTAGCAAAGAGGAAAGGGGTGCTCCCCCAAAAGAGGAGAAGTGAGAGTTCTTCGTCCAGGTCAAGGATTTTATAGGGCCTCTTTTGGGGCTAGGGCGGAAGAACAGTAAGGCGGAGTTGTCAAAGCCAAGGCAGGTTGGCAAAGAAGTTGATGCACTGGCTTTCCTTCTCAGATACTGGGAGCTCGATTTCATACGGATACTGCGAGCGCAACGCGATTGCCCAAAACGACTTTTACGAAAGCCGATGGATGGGCTAGGCCGAGGCCAGGCTGAAGTAAGTTTCTGATTTCCCAAACGAGTTTGTCTCTTAGAAGCTGCTTCTCTTCGCCGCGACCGAAGATACAGCGACTAAAGAATCCATGTGTGGCGGCGACCAAACTCAGGCTTTTCCTCACGGATTTCGCGCGGGGTTTCTCAGCAAATCGGAGGGAAATCCAGAGTTTCCTTGGTTCGGTTGCAGTGTGCACTGCACAAGCGTAGACTCGACTGCGCCTGCGCACTGCACAGGTGTTTCCCTGCTAGCTCCACCCAGACGAATGTCTGAGACTTTGAAACAACATGCAACAACAATAAATGAACTCAGCTGAATACCTTCCACTTGTGCCAGCCGTTCGAATTACGTTGTTTTCCTGCCGTTTGAACAAGGATGTTCATTTCGTTACGCTGAACAAACTCGAGTGTGCAGATGATCAGTCAGTGCTGTTTTCTACACCCATGTCTATCATGTCTCGACATCGTGGCTTCTTTTGTCTTCGCGATGAGCCGATTCTGACTCCAGTGGTTCCTGGGGAAATGCCCCCAAAAGCCATCGAGCTCGAGGCCAAAGGAGTCCCTCAACCTCCGCTTGGAATCACGCCCCGTCGCGGCGTCTTGGCCCGACCGCGACCGTCGTGCCACCCGCGGGGTCGTGACCGGGGGTGACCGGGGTGCGGTGCAGGGTGCGGCCGGTCCACCCGTTTGGCTTCCGAAAGACGGGCTTCTCTCGTTGGGACATGGCAGAATTGGCAGACCTTTAGACGATGTTAGAGCTTCACAGATGTGTGGTCCCTGTGTGATTTTGGATGGTTTTGGTTTGTCCATGCGGTCCCACAAAAAAGTAGGAGGTGCCGAGGCAATGATATCAGTTTGTCAGACCACGTCCTTAAATCACCCAGTTTGATCAGTTCGTCGTGGGAGTTATTTTTCCAAATCTGCTGGAGTGGTGCCTTCTTTATATACTGTAGTCGTGTTCCAAAGGTAGACCATGTTTTTTTGTGTCTATCCAAACATATCCAGGTCACCTGGACCTGCCTACAGAAATCCAGGTCCGCGCCCGGTCATTTGACTTTGAGGTCCAGCAGCAGTTTGGCGGCGCCTTGTTGGATGCCCGCGATGCCTGCCACCCGAAGGCCAAAGATAACGATAAAACATCAGGAAACAACTAAGATAACTAAGTGGGTGTGGATTTCTATAGGTCCCCCTATTTTAATACAGTACATATCCAAGTTTCTCGTTTCAACAGACTAGGAATGTGTAGACCTCACATTTCCGGCCATCCCTTCCTTGACGTATTTTCATCCCCCGCAAAGCGCTGAAGCAATCAGGCCCCCGAGTTGTGCAAGGAAGATGGGTCCTGATCTTGATGATTTTGGGGACGAAATCTGTGGCCAAGACTGCGCAGTTGCAATGAAGTTCAAGGAGATTCCGTTTCTAGAGTACTTCGTGGCTGGAACAGTTGTCCTGGGAAAGCCTGAAAGACTGCAGGTATGGTCTTGCGGCCTCTACCCGCATGGATGCCAAGAGTGTCATCTAAAACAGAGATGGAATCGAGGCACCTCTTGAATGCATTCCGAAGCACAACATGAGATGTGGGTGTGCATTCTAAAAGGGAGGCCCCCCTGGCCCTGGATGGGTAGACAGATCCATTATTATTGGCTTTCTTCCATTTTGGTCGTCTTCTGGGAGGCTCCCCGGATTTTAACGTTACAATCACGTTTCTTGTTCGATCAGACTCGGAAGCATGGCAAAGCATGGCAAAACATGGCAACAACTGCATTGCTTTTTTTTCCCCTCTGGAACCTCCTGATATAGCATCATCCAAGAGTCCCACGGGACATCTATATGGCCTCTAAGCACGGCCAAGCACGGCCAAGCACGGACCGAGCGTCTCCGATCGATCCGGACCGGCGCGACCGACCGAGGGTCTGGGCCGCTGAGCTGGTGTGGCGGCCCTCGCTGTATCGGCTGGACTTCTTTGAGGTGCCGGGGTGTTACTACTAGTAAGGCACTTGTTACTAGAAGCGATGCACTTGTTCCTAGTAGCGAACCTTGTTACTGCTAGTAAGGCACTTGTTACTAGAAGCGATGCACTTGTTCTTAGTAGCTTCTTGTTACTACTAGTAAGGCACTTGTTACTAGAAGCGATGCACTTGTTCCTAGTAGCTTCTTGTTACTACTAGTAAGGCACTTGTTACTAGAAGCGATGCACTTGTTCCTAGTAGCTTCTTCTTACTACTATGGGGCTGCACGTCTCGCCACAGAGACGTGCTCTCATCGTCTCTGCCGAGGCGCGGCTGTCGAACTTGGAGCGGCGGCGCAGCACGTGGGTGCACCTGCGCTTCGCAGCATCTGGGATGACCGAGTTCCTGGCAATGGGAAACAATACTTGCGATGACCTCCACCTAATAGCGTCCTAATATTCTAGATGGCCTCACCTAGATAGCCTTGGTTGGTTGATTCGAGAGGAGACCACCAGCCTTGGTCCTGGGGTCGTTTCTCCACCAAGTCCGGTCGATGCCACGTTCGACCTCCTGACCGGATGGGAGTTGGTTCGAAGGGAGTGGCGAGGAGAACGGAGGGTGGCCATGTTTATGTCGGTGGATGTGGTTCACTCGGCGCCATGTGAATTGTTTTCTTGTGTCATTGTAGTGCTGAATGCAAATTAGAGAGAGGTGGTTGGCACCTGTGGCACCCTTCATTTTACTATTAGAAACAACATCCCTTGACCCAGCTCGGAGTCAACAGGAAGGTCCAGGTCTAATTCCCACTCTATCTAAACTAGACATCGGAAATCAAAACACATCATCTTTCATGGGAATGGGAAAACAGTGTTCAGTTTGAGCTGGGTTCCAGTTTCCAGTTTCATGGGAATGTCCAGATTTGAACTTTGTCATGTACCTGGAGCCCTCCCAACAGCGGATGTCCCTGGGTTTCTGGTTTCCCTTAGAATGGCCCCTCATCTCGAGCGAAGCCGACAGGCACGGGAAAAAGCATCACGACAAACTGAGGTGAATACGACCTTGGCATTTCAAGGAAACCCCGAGGACAGGGGTCGACGGGGAGGTGCCAGGAAGGCTCCGTCTCACGTGAACGATTTGGGCGAACCAAAGCTGCGATGGAGGGGCCTCACGCGAACGAAGGGGCTGCACTTGATATGGAACTCGATGTGTGCTGTATGCTGTATGGCATGTTTTTCTGGTGGATCCCTGTGAGCTTGGGAAAGCAGCCTTGTGGAAGTGCCAGTTTTCATTGGAGTGGATGCCAGTGTGCCACAGGCAAAGCCGGCTCTATATAATATAACCCTTTCAGAGGGGTACGGTACTCGTAGCGCTGTTGGTTGTTGACAAAGCAGAGTCAGACCATGTCAGACCTCTGTGTTAGTTCTTGGGTTACGTGTACATGTCTGCGGAATACAAACTCTATAATCAAGACCGTTGCGCGTGCGCTCCAGGATATCCTGAAAATCAGCCGGGAGCACGGTGCTGGACGACATACTCACACAGGAAGTTGTCATCTATAATTCTGCAAATGAGGATAGTGGTGAGCTCCGTTTAACTGCATGTCCACTCTATTCACCATGATCGATGGCTTGTTTGCATTCCCATTCCATGCCTTTATTGAGTCCTAAAAGCACAAGTTCATTTCAAGCCTCCAGCTCTTCGTACTATCGCTTAGTGAACTTGCAGATCTTCGTTGGACTGTTTGCCTCGTTGGTCTCTGCACCAACTGCAGCAGTTTGCAACGCCACCCAGGCCCACCCTATGGTTTCTCGATCCTGGATGTTCATTCGTCCTCGCTGCAGGCCCTCACTGAAAGGGGCGGGCACGGAGGTTTAGGGCGACCTCGCCCTAAACCATTGGGTTTTGGAGGGTTTGTGATTGGATGGTGCAACAGATGTGGTCTTTCTATTGGTTTGGTATGCTTGACGGAGGTGCGTACTCCTCATTTAATCCAGATGAACGCTACCTTGTCGGCCTCCCATGCGGCCAACAGGCACTGCGAAGAAGGGAGCAGAGCGGCCAATTGAATCTACCAGAGGCTGGATGACAAGGATTGCCTGAAGTTGTTTGATCCCCTTGGTCGGGTTCATACTGGGCTTCAGTAAGTGACAGTATTCAAGCCCACATAGGCCCACGTGTTTATACTACATCTTGAAAATCACCTTTGGATTGTCCCTAGAAGGCCTCCAATATGGTCTTCAAGTTCCAGAACAATCAGAGCCTGGTGAAGAACCATGAACAACGGTTGAGTGGTAGAATGGTGAAAAAACTGCAGTGCGGCCCAAGAACCTGCCACCTTTTCTTTTGGAAGTGAAAAGTCCCAAACAGCCTTGTTTGATGTTATATATATAGCATATATATAGCTGGAACCTGAATGATCTCTATTTTGGACCACCAACCACCCAAAATATGGCCTTTTCCTATCAAAACAGAGGTCAAATGGGTTCCAGGTATATAATCTTATATCTCAGAGTTGCTCGTTGCTGGCCATTTAGACCAAGCTTTCCGCCGATCCGCACCACGCGTGCGCCCGCTTCAGCGCCCACTGTGTGAGGTCGTGGACCTCCCGACGGCCATTGAGACGTCCAAAGGGACCGAGTTGGGCGGTGGAACAGCAGGTGAACCAATGGACCTCCCACACGCAACGCCTGTCTTGTTCGGTGGTTCCTTTCACCATGAAGCTGCACGAGTAAACATGAATGGGTCATTCAAAATGGAACCACGGAGGGACTAATGCTTTGTGTGCACACAGCACGACATCCAAAGATCAACTGGCAACATGACAAAGCACAAACAAAGCACCAACAAAGCACCTGAAGCCTCCCAGAGTGTATTTTTGGTACTCCTCTCTACCTTGGTCAGAACCTTCCCAATTCATAATTCAGTGCATGGCTTTTACGCAGAGCGCTATGTCGTCTTGGCTAGCAAAAAGGCAGAAGAAGAATAGGTACTCCACGGTACTCCTCTCGCAAGAATGTCCAACTCTGACGGGGGGGGCACGGGGCACGGTGAGACGTCTCACCTTAAGCTTCAGGACTTTTCTCCTGAAGCTGGACTCGCGGCGAGGGGGCCTGGCAGTCTATGATCCGACAGAAGAGGACAGAAGGGGCCCCTCTAGTCCAAGCGAACGCATTCCGTTCGGACTGCTGGTTGACTGTTCCAGGGCTGTTCGGCTGCTGAAGGTCCGGGGCTCCTTTGGGGCGAAAAGAAGGGGCGAGCCGAACCTCTTTCGGCCGACCATGTGGGCGTGTATTTCAAAAGGGAGACCAACGACCCCGGTTCGGAAGGTTCGGAGCATCGACCAGTCTGCCATCTACCCCAGTCGACCAGGGCGAGAGCTCGGGTGTGAAATCCGATTCAAAGACACACCCCCTCATTTTCTCCGGAAGAAGCGGACGCGCCTGGAGATGGTTTCAGCATGTTTCAGCTCCAACTTGCAGGGCGCTGCGGAGATCCAAGGTCCAACTTGCAGGGCTTGCGCGTGAGCAACTTGTGCCCGGGCTTGATTGCCTCGGGCAGCTGGAGGATGCTGGGGGTGGGAAACGGCTGACTGGTGCAGTGGTGACAGGCTTGGGACAAGCTTTGAAGGTGGAGATAGGGTGGGTGGAAGCTGCACTCTTTTCTCCATGGTCTGGTAGTCTTGGCCTTAGAGAGGGAAATTGATGGGAATAGATCAAAGGGGTCATGCTGGAATGCAGCATCTTCGCTCAGAAGGATTGCAACAGGTTCCTGCACATTCGCAGCACAGCAGCAGGTACGGTGTTGTGCAAGCACAGCAGCAGCACTTTGTGAATCTGCCGCAGTCCTAGCAGCTGACTGGCAAGTGTGGTCTCCCCCATCGTGGCTCCAGAATTACTGTACTTTGATTTGCAGATGTTTAGCATCTCAAACCAGGCTTTCATTCAACATCCCAACATTTATGCCTTAGGTTCCTCTTCGTGTTCCCTTGACGGTTCCTGCCATGTCAGATCGGTTCACTCGAAGGTTCGGCCAACCACCGTCGGTGGCCACATCCACCGAGCGTTCGAGCCGCGGTTCGCGCCGAAGGGCCGAAGGGCCGAAGCAGTTGCTGAGGTCGGTGTCCTTCCCAGAGAGCGGGGCCAAGGCCTCAGACGGCCATGGGGAGCGATGGCGCATTGAACCTGAGAACGGCCCCGAGGGGGGCGTGGTTGTTTCGACAACGCGACTCTCTGGAGGTCTTGAGGTCTTTTGACCGGTGAGGGTCTGGGATGGTCCAAGGGGGCCATTTGTTGGAATGGTCCAAGGAGCGTTCGAAACGCTACCCTTCTCACCTCACCGTTTCCAACGACGTGTCACGACCTCACCCGTCCCACCCTCCATGCACGGTCTCGACGTGGCGCCCGAGTATCGAACCAGCCCTTGGACCGTGTACCAACCGGGCGTGGGGTTTTACAGTGGTTTTCAGGGTCCATGGCTTGATGTGCCAGAAAAACACATCAGATCAACAAGAGATCGACAGCCCAGGTTGAGCCATCTTTGGTGGATGTGCTTTCGAGAGAGCCCAACCGTAGTGCTTGCCAGGTGCTGAGTTGGCCACGACGCAAAACAGAAGATACAGAGGTAGAAACATTCCAGTGACTTCATGTGGGGATGTATTTTTGTTGGGGGGGATCTACAAACCAACGGATCATTTTTTGGTCTGTTGTTGATTTGTCCCAGAGGTCTTGAATGGGAATACACCCCCATGTGGCTTTTTGACTGACATATTTATGTTTCAAGTTTCAACTGAATTGTATAACAACTGAATTCGTCTTCTTTGACACCGAGTTGTGCCGAAACAAAACCCCTTTTTCTTCATTTGTGCCGGGTGCCCTCCCACTGTGAAGTGGTTGAGGCGCCAACGTCTGGGGCCTGGGTTTCGAGGCTCCTCAGTATTCCTTTGATCAGCGCGAGCCAAGAGGATGGTGGGTGTTACGTGTTGCCGCCATCTTGGGTCCTCTTGGAGTTTGGGGTCTTTTTGTGATGCCGCAGAGTTACAGAATTTCTTGATGGGAGTGTTGCCTCTTTGGACATGGGAAGACCTTGCTAGGCTGAAGACCAAGCGCTGGTCTCTGGCTTTGCTCAAGGGGAGATTCTGGCAGCTCTAGAGCAGCGACTTGGCGCCAAGCAGAATCTGTGGCGTCTTGGGAATGCGCAGGCTGAAGCGCAAGCTGAAGCCCGGATTCGTGTGATGCTGTGTGCACTTTCGAATCTGGGGATGCTGAGTTAAGAAGAACGAGACAAAATGAACGAACGCTTCACTGGCCTTTACCGCGGTGGCAACTTGTTGGACGTTCTTCGATTTGTCGGTGTCCTACATGTTTTTGCCAACTTCTATAGGTAGACCATAGACTCATAGACCATAATGTAGACTCTTGATTAATAAGACCTCCACATGAGGTTTTTCACTTCAAGTCGGCGGGGGTTATTCATCAAGAGTCTACATTACTTCCAGATCACCATTTCCACCATTTCCTGAAAAGCACGGTGAGGTGCAAAAAGAGGACACCTCCGAGACGTTGATCTCGTGACACTGCGTGGGTTCCCTGTGTCCCTGTGGGTTTCCCCTGTGGGTATCTGCATGTGGGGAATTGTGGTGGTTTCATTCTGGTTATGATCCAAGGTTAGTGGTGGAGTGCAACACTAGAGCTGTGGATGCCAGCAATGCCTTGTGCAGAGCTCAGATGAGCAGAACCGCCGTCAGTGGGTCTTGTGCGTAGCACGGCATTTGACGTCCTTGGGAAAGACCTGAAACCTCGGAAGATCTTTGGCACATGATATTCTTCGGTTCTTGCGCGGGACCAAAATCAATTTTCTCGTAAGTTTCATCAGAGGTACACTCTGACAGAGAGAGCCCACAGCGAAGCAAACTCTGACAGATGATATCAGAGATAAGCTAATATATGATTACCCAGAGAGTCGACGACAAAACTTTCTTTGGTCTCTCGCGCAGGACTGTTGTTTTGGCGTGATTCCATTGACACAGCATGGCCCAAGCAGAATTCATGTTCGTGACATTTCATCAGAAACAGCTTCGGAATGAACTCCAAGACCCGAAGCCAACTCTTCAACTTTGGGGCTTTCTGGGGCTTCCTGCCCTTCAAAAACCCGAGTCTTCACGCAAAACCCGAGTCTTCGCATCGTGGATGACCAGGGCATCCCCCCAAAATCCCCCGGGGGGCCTCACCCGACCATGAGGGTCGCACTGGCTGGTGAAAACCAGAGCCGGTTTGAGCTGTCCCTCCTGAAGCTTGGAGTGACAGCTGGCTCCATCTGATGTAGAATCTTGATTCATGAACCCCCTAGACATGGATTGTAGCACCTGTTCAGGCTTGGGGGGGTTGAAATATCATCCCGAGTGGTTCCATCCTTGGGACAAGCCGACTGGTTCCTTCAAAAGGCCCTTTGGTTGGAGGGCCATGGCTTGTTGATAGGTCACCTGCTCAGATGCCTGGTCTGGTTGATCACCTCCTTCATCCCTTCAGCAGAACTGAAACGGAGAAGGAATGTTTCGATGATTACGATCATGTTGAGATCTGAGGCCTGAAGATGGACATGGCAATTATTGTAACATGTACCATGTGAACATTGCAAGAGTCCTCATAGAGGCCTCTTGAAAAACTCGTGGGACAGCTGGTGCACATGGGGCGTTTCTCGGGTGCTGGCGTCTTCCTTTCGGATCTGCTGCTGCCTGAGGTCCATTCGCTTTCGGGCCACTGGCCGTGCAGAGTCCCCAGCGAGAGGAGGCGAGGTGGCGAGGTGAGGTGCTTTCGCGCCGGAGAGGCGTGGCGAGAGGAGGCCATGGGTAGGGGTGGATCAGGTGGAGAAACCATGGACTGTTGATGAATAAAAGCCTCCATTCTGGTAGGAACATGTTTTATTCATCAACAGTCTACATTGGATGGGCATCAAAATCACTATGCTTTGGTAGGTAGATCAGGTGGAGAATGTGGAGAGACACTATGGACCATGAACATTTTGTGGGTGGACATAGGCCAACAATGGCCAACAAGTGGTATCGATGGCTTAAGACAAGTATCACTACCCTGAGAATCAGGCCATGGCCTTTGTCATCCTTTGTCTAAGCGCACGCCAACTGTCACGATCCCTTCAGGACTGGCGGCCTTGAGTACTCATGGCCTCCAGCTGATTCTTCCTATAAGAACAGTATTCAGCATATTGGCCATAGATGCCATAGATCAATCCACTTCCTGAATAAATATTAATGCATCATTCCTCCAACTGATTCATTCCATTTCATTCCAACCAAGTTTCCAACCATGTAAATTGATCCACTTCTCGTGTTGTCGTGCGCCAAGCCGTGCTGTCATGCTGCGCCAAGCTGCGTCACATGCCAAGCTATTGAGGTCCTATCTCTACCAGCCGGTGAGTCTTTGGTAATTGCGCCCCTTGGTGAGAGACACGGACTACCCGTTGTTCGGTGGATCGGAAGCCACTCAACATGCCTTGGCATTTGGGTTGGAGTGGAGATCAACTTGGCATAATGATCTATATATTTTGTATGACAATGTTTTTATTGGCTGAAGTATTTGAAGTATCTGAAGTATCTGTGGTGTCCTTCGATCCTCCCCTTGCGCTCAGCCCGAGGCTTCGCTTTTCTCAAGACTTTGAGATGACAGAGCCCAGCCCCGTGGCTGAGTACGCAGCGCCTGACATGCGCCCCTTGGCTCAGTGGCTGAGTAGCAACAAGAACGTCAGGAATGGAGCAGTGCTGCAACGTGCTGCAATGACATGTCTTCGAACATGATCGAGCACGTGCAGGTGCTGCAAGTGCGCTGTGCGAATGGAAGGAACCGACCGTAGAAGACAAAGCTTTAGCCAATTCGTCTCATCCGACCCCCGAAATCGAGGGTTCTCACGGCATCCGAAAGGCATGATATTGAATTCGGATGACTGAATGTGCAGAGAACTGAGGCTCTACCGAGACGGGCGTGGAGCTGGAGCGGCTAAGGGAGATGTGTTTTCTTTCCTCAGCTGCAAAGCATGAAGGGGCATGAAAAGTGGATCGATCTTCTGGCTCAATTTCTTGTTTTTTTCGTCAAACGTGCGGCGAAGAGATGCATCCTAAGACTGAAAGCAGACATGGGAGCTTTAGATAGGACACTCCCAACATTCAGTGAGAACTTGAAGAGTTCCTGCCCAAATGCCCACACTATAGGAGCAGCATAGAGGGATACTAATACAAAGGGCATGAGCAGAAGAAACACATCAGTCTTCTCCTTTCGTTTCTCCAGAACAAACGCCATTTGATCCCAATCCAGAAACAAAATCCATGAAGAACAGATTTGGAACATTTCCATGATGAAGCCATGGATCGCCGGGATTTGTCTTTCCGGTGATCCAGAATGAGTGATCCTCTTTCCTCCCCATGTCGCGTGAAGCATCACGAGTTCGAACCGACCGGACCTTCCAGGAGGGCCGGACCTTCCGGAAGTTGGGCTGTCCGAGCTCCTTGGCGCTCTACTCCTTGGGCCGCCGGCTCCGTCAGGATCCGACGTGGGCAGTCACCGGGGGTGGGGACGTACTGCTCCGTTCGGGTTCGGAGCGATGCCCTTGGCTCCGTTCGTAGCTTCTTGTTCCTAGTGGTAGGTCAAGGAATGGATGTACGTACTGTATCCCTGGTATGCCATGAGGTCGGATGTCGGATACGTACTTATGATGCATGGTGGGTGCATGGTGTGACGCACCGATGATCGATATTTATGGAATTTTAAAGACGTCTATTGATGATATAGATGCAATTAGCTGCATAATATTAATATGCATAATGGAATTTTAAAGACGTCTATTGATATAGATGCAATTAGATGCATATAATATTTATATAAACATATATTTATATATTGTGATATATGTATATTTGTATTTAGTCTATAACAAGATCTGAGAAAGACATTGGTTTAATTTTAAACTGGCTGGCGCCCGTGTTGTTGAAGGTGGCCAACGCGGTCGAAAACATGACTTCCACAGTTCCACGGGAACCAGACTTCCTTTCCAGGAGCTGCCGGGGTGTGTGGTCTTCTTCAATGACTTCCAGGCCGATCCAAAGCAGAAGAAAATGGCAGATCCAAGCAGAAGTGGTGGTCGTTTCAGTCAATTCTGGAAAAGAAGCAACTCCGTCCATGGTCTTGCCTTCCCACCCCCCCGTGCACATCGCACGACCCGAGCATCACTGGAGTCCTGCCAGAGCATCACGGAAGTCTTCTTCAATGCATCTGGAGTTGTGCCAGACACCTCCAACGAGGCTGGGCCTGACCATCGCGTTGTTGTTGTTGTTGTCGTCGTCGTCGTCGTCGTCGTCAAGTTGTTGTTGTTGTTGTTGTTGTCGTCAAGTTGTTGTTGCTCGCTCGCTCGAGTCCCAAGCTCGTCTCGGCTAACAGATGATCCAAGCTTGAACGAATAATGTGGGTGTGTGTTTTAATAGGGGACCCCCTGGTTTCGGATAATTTTTGATGGTTTTGGTTTGTTTCATGAAACATTTGCTTTCTTCCAGGGAGTCGTCGCCTGGGAGGTCTCCCAAGACTGTTCACACACACCCAAGTGAATCATGTGCTCATGGTCAAACTGGGTTCTTTCGACGCTTTCGAGTCGATTCATAGAGTCTGAGTCTGAGTAGAAGGTTCTTTCACCGGGTTCTGATCATTGCAAGGATCGGTCGCGGCAGGTGATCGGTCGTGCTCGTTTTCCAAGCAGTTCTCATTGGGTGGCTCCAGTTCACGCACGCACTGCGTTTTGGATGTTTGTAACTGCTTTGTCACGCGTGGAAGTTCACCGAGAAACGGCTTTCCAGTCTTCAAAGCGATGGCTTTAATGGCTTTGAGCCAACTTTCAACCGCCTGCTGAAAGCGACCCTGCCAGCATAAATGCCAACATCATCCAGCATCCATGATCTTCATTGCAGCCTCTGAGGAGTTTTGTCTGTAAACCGGATGCTACTGCTACATTTGCTATATATTCCTCATTTCCATGCCAACGATCGGTCAAATTTCAGAAAGCCTGACCCCACCCAGGAAGACCTTGTGTGACACGGTCCTCGTGTTCTCCGAGAGTTCCGCGCAGGTGCTCCTCCGTGTCCGCAACCCACCCTGGAGCCGCTTCGCGGGATTCCGGACGAGCGAGGTGAACGACGGTGGTCTAGATCATAATGGCCTTATAGTCATGACTTTGTACGTAAGGATCAGGCCCAACCTCTGCAGTCACCTTGCTGTTTCATGGCTTTTCTGACTGGACACAGACTCGACTGAACTCCCAACGCAGGGCGAGGTTTGTTGTTTTTTTGAGCGATCCACTTATTCCTAGCGATGTCACTGGTGTTTCCTTTCAAAGTTTTAAGAATTCAACGCCAAAAAATATCTTGCTGCTAGCTCCTTGAATATCTTGAATGACACCGGTTTTCTCTAACGGGCTCACATTCCTCCGGTTTGAACATCAATGTGTCGGTGCAGGACGGGGTCTGCTCCCAACATCACGCTGGTGGCCTATCGCACGGACCGAAGACCCTTTCGTCCAGCGCTCAGGTGGGGGGAAGTGAAAAAGCTCCTACTGTAGTAGCGAAGCCCTTTGCTCCTAGTAGCGTTCTTGCTCCTAGTAGTAAGGCCAGGAGCCCCTAGTAGCGTCCTTGCTCCTAGTAGCGATGCCCTTTGCTCCTAGTAGCGTCCTCTACCCCCACAATGTTTGATTTCATCCCGCAAGACTTGTGGAAATCACTGAACGATGAATTGATTTTTCAGTGCAGAGCCTCTGCAGCCGAGGTGGGACGGGGGGGGCAGGTCTAGAGTCCCAAACACCTGCTTCCCACCCTGAAAAACTTCCACGGCAGGTCTGTTTGGCATGGCTTTGAGAGAGCTTAGGGACCTTGCCTTTTTCCCGCTTCAAGCCATTCCAAGGTCTGGTGCCCGTGCCCTTGTCATTGGCGGAGTCCACCCGGGTCCGGGCCGCCCGGAGACCGCCACGACTGCAAGATAAGACCGCCACGGCGAGGCCTCTCTAGCCTAATCTTGGTGCTGATGTGTATCAATTGTGACTACACCAACAAATCTAGGTGAGCCTCACTTTCCTTTCTAGGCTAAGTTGCCATGTTCTCCAGATGCCATAATGCTCTGACTCTTCTCCAGAGCGTTTGGCTTCCATCCTGGTGTCAGCGATAATGAATCCAGCCCAAATCCAGCGCGGCATCATCGCCTTGAAGAGCAATGGACCATTGAAATGGAACCGATTTAGATCGGAGCTGGGCAATCCGGATCGCCTCACCAAGGAGAAAGTCATCACCCTTCCAGAGATGTTCGGCTTCGACAACAAGCGCCTGGTTGCAATGTATGTGAATCTCCTTGTTGTGGCACGTCGGAGCAGTTTGAGAAAGCAGCCCCGAAGTGTTCGAGGTGCCAGTGAAGACGACGCTCCTCTGGACCCATGGCGTAAGAAGAAGCATGGCCCGGCCAAGGCCCAGATTTTGCAGTGGTTATTGGAGGTCGAACATTCGAGCAGCTTTTGGAAGTCCCTCAAGGGTGCGGCTCAGTCTAGGAATTGGAAAGGCTTTTCCAATGTTATTCGAAAGGAATGGGTTGGCCAGGGCAGGATGGCGGACGTCTGTAATTTTCTACAAAACAGCCAACACAGCCTGCATGTTTGGCACCAAGTCAGCGAATTGGCCGAGAGATTCTGAGAGCCAGGAACGCCTTTCATTACGTTTGCTGATGATTTGAGACATCTATGATGCTAGTCTGAGATTGAGCTGCCAAGAAACTTATAGCAGTTGATACTTGTTTTGCATGTTTCCACACGGTCCTGTTTGTTTCGGCATTTGTCAGTAAACAACCCTGTGCAAATCTGATTGACGATGTTGAAATGCTCCAGCAAACGGTATTGAACAACTTTGATGGCCGAAAGAGCCTTCCTGCCAGTCCATGTGGTCTGTGCTGTGGAAAGCAAGGTTGGCTCAAGGGTCAAATGCTCTGGTTTGATTAAACATGATTAAACCATATTGAACCATTTTTCATAGACACAATGATGCATTTTTGTATTTCTTCCCTATCCTGTAGCACCATGTAGGGTCTCAGTTAGAACATGATAGGATGAATATGAATGAATGCTTTACATGTTGACATGTTTCGCTCATTGTTTGTCAAAGGTCATTGCCATCAAAAGAGAACAATTTTTAAGCTCCCGAGGCAGGTTGGTGCATGGGCCGTAGACAGGTTCCTGGCACCATCTTGAGAAGAGTGCTCGATCGAAGATCCGAGTGCACCACGAAGAATGAGTGCAGGAGCAGGTGTTGCACATAGTCCCGGAACTGGGTGGTTGAGGCCGCTGAAAAAGTTCGTTCTGTCCAACCCATTCCTCAGCATGGCCTGTTCCATCACTGACATGGGAAAAACGACAACTGCATGACGTGATGGTACAGATTTCGACCTCGCCCGTGGCAGTACAGACCGCCATGGCTTCAAGATTAGACCGCCATAGAGGCCTCTCTAGCCTAATCTTGGTGCTCAAGTATATCAATTGTGATTACACCAACAAATCTAGGTGAGCCTCACTTTCCTTTCTAGGCTAAGTTGCCATGTTCTCCAGATGCCATGCTCTGACTCTTCTCCAGAGCGTTTGGCTTCCATCCTGGTGTCAGCGATAATGAATCCAGCCCAAATCCAGCGCGGCATCATCGCCTTGAAGAGCAATGGACCATTGAAATGGAACCAATTTAGATCGGAGCTGGGCAATCCGGATCGCCTCACCAAGGCGAAAGTCATGGCCCTTCCAGAGATTTTTGCCTTCGACAAAAGCCGGCATCATGTGCACTTGGTTCTTCAAAGTGCCAATTGTGAACTGGATGGCGATGATGGTGGTGATTATGATGATGATAATGATGAAGATGAAGGTGAAGATGAGGCTTTCAAGGAGGATAAGCACAGCGTTTCGCGCGAAGACCTCAGGTCCATGCAGAAGTGGATCGCTTCAGATCGTGGTCAACATGGTTACCGCAAGAAGCTGATGAAGGGTAAGCACGCCCCAGCCAAGGCCGCCATTTTGCACTGGCTATGGGAGGTCGAACATCCGAAAAGCTTTTGGAGCTCCCTCAAGCGCGCGGCTCAGTCTAAGGAGTGGAAAAGCTTTGGCCAAGCTGTTCAAAAGGCGTGGGTCGCACAGGGCGGGGCAGCGCAGATGTGTGATTGTCTACAAGGCAGCCAACACTGCATGCAGATTTGGCGGGGAATTGCCGATGGTTACTGAGAGCTCCCCCAGCCGAACTCATTCGGTTTGCAGTTTCGCTGCCAAGACCCATAATTAGTCCTGATCCTTGTTTCGCACGCGTTTGCATGTCTTGCAAGACTGCGACTGTGGTGCATCAAGATCCAATTGAGGATGCCAGGAGCTGGAGTACTCAACCAGGTACTTAGGTCAGACTGCCAGTGGCTCCCAATAGTGGATCTGGGCTGTCTCCTTTGATTTAGAAGCAGTGGAAAACTCTGATTGCTGAAAGCCCTAGCTGCAAGTCCATGTGGTTTGTGTGTGTGTGCCAAACAAAGTTGCTGAATTGTCAACATGTTTTGTTTGGAATGTCCAGTTTTCTTTATGGGAACCATTATGCACTGCTTCTGTCTCTCCTGTAGCAGCATAGTAGGATTATAATGGATTATAGTGTCCATGGGTCAGCAATCAGCAACAGTTCAGTGCAACAATAAGTGTAAGATAGTGTAAGCAGTGACTCCGCCCAAGAAGATCCACTTTCCTTCTTCTTTTACGGTTAAACCACGAAAGAAAAAACCACCTCCCAACCCCAGGGACCTCCCAACCGCCCTCCCAACAAAACCCCTCGCTCCCGCATGCTGCCGCGTCCCTCCGCGGGCGAAGCGTCGAGGCCCTGGTGCCACTCCAAGTTCCCTTGACCACCCGCTGCGACCCGCTGCTCCGAGCCATGGAGGCCGAGGTGCCTCGGTGCGCCTTCGAGCTGAAGGTGAGAAGATGAGATGTGGAGACAGACATGGCCAAAGATGACACCGGTCGCAGGACCAAAGCCTAAGCCACTCCCATGTGACTGAAGGAGTATGCGATCTCTGAAAACATGAAAGGCACGAAGAAGTAGAAGAAGAAGACGAAGAAGAAGAAGAAGTAGAAGAAGAAGAAGACGAAGAAGAAGAATAAGTAGAAGAAGAAGTCGAAGTAAGGGGTTTGACTGAAATTAAATAAATGAAATTATATCAGTCACTAGCTGAGTTGCCTCGAATGGGGGCGAACACTGAAGAAACGACGGCCTCGAAATTTTGCGGCCCCACAGTTACGTTTGTCCGTAATAAAACCATCTTCGCCAAACCCACTTCTTTGCGCCAAACCGAGGACGCAAAAACAACGCTCAAGTCTCCGGCCTGCTTGGCACTCACGTCTTCGGTCTTCGCATTTTTCCACTCCAGGTCTTCGCGGGAAGCTGCTTGCTCCCGGGCTTCGCCTCGGAGGTCGGCTGGTTGCGGAAGTTTCATCGGCTTTTCTGGTGACCGGTTGAGAATGACCGGTGGCCGCCGGTTTCGGTCGAAGGGTCGAAGTCCTTCTCGTGTTTTTGTTTTTCTGCTGGTTTTTGGCAGAAAAAGCTGACAAGTTGTGATTCCACTTGAATTTGTACTGGTTCCAGTAAACAAAGGTTGATCAAACCATTGAGTTGGCAGATGACTAGCGAACGTTCGGTAGCATTCACCCTAAAGTCAGGATTAGGTTTGCTACAGCCCAGCAATTAACCAGGGGGCATGACATGAGCTCCAAAAACATTCATTTCCAATGCTCCATTTGCTTTATTCGTAGATTGCAATCGAGTGTATGTAATATGGGAAGTTGTTGACTGACTGAGATGCACCCAACCCAAGCATCGTGCGGTCAGCGCAGGTCACGCTGGGCTTTCTGGCCCCCGAGGTCTTTCAGGCGTCCTGGGCGGGTGGGGTGACATGGCAGGTGCATCCACCGCGTCCGTCGTTTGCTGGGCACGACTGGTACTATATATTCAAGCGAGACGTGCCGCGCGTCGTGAGACTGGCCTCCTTGACCTACATGAACCCCCCCGGTCAATCGCCGTCAAGATGCCACTCCCGTGTGTCGTCGTCTGGGAAAAAATACACCACAGGAGGCGCAGATCTTCGATGGAACCAGGAGGGTTTTTGCTGTTCCTTAACCTGAGGTCGGTAGAGACCTCCCGCAGGTTCCACCCGCTTTTTCAACCACCGCTTCGCGAAGCCGCGAAGGCTTGAAAGCCGTTGGACACGAACATGCATTTCTTTGCGACGCAGAGAGTAATTGTCTATCAGAGCTTGCACGTATAGATGAGGTCTATATTATGCGTGTATATATATATATTTACGAGGTATATATATAGTCTAATATAAAAAATATATATATATATATAATCAGTGAGGCTATCAAAAATGACTCTCACTTTTTTTGACTCTCAAATCTGGCTCCTTCTGATATGGATGCAGCGAGTGTTGTTTCAGGGATTTGAAGGGTTGGAATAAAATTCATTCTAGTGTTCATGGAACCTATTTTGTTTCTTTTTGCAGTGAGTGTTGTGTGATTTCGACGCTTCATGAAAAAACCGTCCGACGTTTTTCAAGGGTGCGACATGTAGAGCTGTTCATGTGTGATCGCCCGACGTTACAAGGGTCAGGGATGCAGGGCTTTGGTCGCTCGCTGGCCGCGATGGAGCACGCCTCTGCAAGGTGCAGCTGGCAAGTTTTGAGGGCTGTGTGCGTGCATGCAAGAGTTTTTTGACTGTGAGTTTTCCTTTGAGTGACATCTGCAATGATTAGTCGTTTTTTTGCTTTGAGTGGTGGCTTCATGACATCTGCAATGACTGAGCCACCGAACGGCCATGAACGGCCCAAATCAACCATTGGTTCATGGCATCATCATCCAAAGATGTTCAACAAAGAGACGTTCAAAGTTCAAACATTCAAAAATTGAAATTGAAACTTCAAGATGTTCAACTAATCTTTAAGTCGAACATCATGTTCATTTTGAACTTCAAGTCGACAGATACTTCAGTTCGACAGCTATTCATAGCCCATGCATAGGCATAGATACTATACAAATCGCTACTAATGATAGACACATCAATCTTTCACAGACTTCAAAATATTTACTGTAACATTCTTGGGCAACTTCAAAACAACATTTCAAAACATTTCACACTTTTCAACACACTCTCAACACACCTTTCAATGGGCCACTGACATTGAGGCAGCAAAACATCGCATGCACCATTTTCACGATCTTTTCCACCCTCACCATGCCGGTTCTTTCTCGCCATGCGCTGGTGGCCTATGGGGTGCATTATGAGTATGGTAGGAACCGACTCTTGGAATTGATTTTGAGATTCCTTTGGTAATTGGACGACCATGCGTACGCAACAGTGAATGCAACTCTTCTTGTGTTTCTCTCTTCCTTTCTCTCGCTCTCTTGTTGGCTTCTCAGTACGATTGTTCTCCAAGGTATTGAGGGAAAGGACATGATGCCGGCTTTGCTGAAGTCGCAGTACCCTGACCACACCATCGTGACCTTTGATGTGCGGACGCTGTGGAACAACGATCCGGGTGATCGGATCTCAGGCGTTTCTTTTGATTCGTTTGCCATTAGCAGTTCACACTTGCACTTTGGTGAGTTTTTGAGATCTTGATGGGAGCACACCTTTGGTTTGATTTGATGTTGACAGGAAGCCCGGCGGCGGACATCAACGTGCTCATGGAGCTTTGCCAGACGGAGGAGATCATCAAAGTTCTCGTGGTGGCCGAGGCTCTCTTGAAGGCGCACAGCAGAGTTTCGGATAAGCCTGTGCTCTTGGCCCTTGTGTATAGCTTGAATGCAGGTTATACAGTCTTCAAATGACATTCATTCAAACAAACTTTCGCTCGCTTTTCTGGGTTTTGCGATCCAAGGCACGAAGGGAAAGCACCGATCTGCATCTGCCGGCATCGTGCTCAGTGGTCTTTTCTCCATTCCTTTGTGGCTGCCATCATGGCATGGGTTTCTTGACTGCAATCAGTCAATCCATTCACAGTCAGTTCATTGGACAACATGGGTTGGACACAGAGTTATCAGTCATTGGCACTCTGTTGGTGGTCAGCTCATTGGTGAAAGTCCTGAGTGGCGCCCAGGCTGAAATCGCGCGAGGCTGTGTCGGCAGACCTCGATGAACAGTTCCTTCAAGGTCTGCGGGAGGATGGCGCAATATGAGGAGGTCCCTACCGCTCCCAGTCCACCCCTGGCGGCGCTATATATCGACACTGTCCCTTGGCTATGACATTGAAATTCATTCATGGAATCATTGAATCTGATCATGTCTTTGAAAATTCTTTGAAAGCAGCAGTTGATCATTTAAGCAACCCTTGAATGGTCCCAGGTAAAGCAGAAGGTGGCGGACCTTGCGCCGGACGTTGCTTACGCGTTCAGCTGCTTGGAGGTTGATGAGAGGAATTGGGCCGCCGCTCGACATGCGCTTGGTTTCATGTTTGACGGTTGATTCGGCTTGATGCCATTTGATTTGACGTCTTCACTGCTGCGTGACCGTATGTGACCGTCCGACGAACTCAGGCGGCCCTCGCGCTCATGACCTTTTCCAGCGATGGCCTCAAATCCACTAGTGCCGAGGATGACTCGAGAGGGTGGGCCCAACGGCAATTGGGTGAAGGCAGATTCTTGGTCAGAGTTTAGTGCTGTTCATGCCTTGCATTTGTGCTTGTCCACGCCTTGCATTTGTGAGTTTGTGCCCATCTAAGAACGCGGTCATCGCATCCCACATCAGAGAGAAAATGAACAGGTTGTTGGACATGTCAGGCGCGGGGTTCTTCACTTCCAAGATGAACCATAGAAACATAGATGAACTCATAACTGGTGGCGCGGGGTTCTTCACTTCCAAGATGAACCATAGAATCATAGATGAACTCATAACTGGTGGCAGGCCTGGGCAACCCATCTGCACAAGGACATGGAGGGGCTGCAGGCCAGTGACTTGTGTAGTAGCGAAATTTTGATGAGAGTTCCATGTGATGGGTCCACATCTCCAAAACACCATTAATTTTTGAAATTTGTTGAATCATCATTTTCACTCTGGCTGACAGATGCGCATGAAGTTCGACCTCTAAATTTTGGGGACTGTTTGAGCCCCCCTGCGCGAGGTCAAGGAAGTGCTTGATGGAGACACTGGCGAAAATTTGACGCTCGCAGACTTGTTGAAGCGAGTGACAAAGAAGGTCAAACTTGACTGCGCTACTTGGCTTTGCAAATAATACTTTGAAGTGCTGCGTTGGATGCACTGCTCTGGTCTAAGGAGACAGGTCCAGGATATGTGATCGCCCAAAAAGTTGTGATGAAGTACAAATCGGACAACGCATCCGTGTCTCACAAGGATTTGTCCAAAGTAGTGAAACCCATGTTCAAGAAAGCTTGATAAACGACCACAAAAAGGCCGACTGTGTTTGTTTCGAAAGGCGTCTGACGGGTTTTGTATGGTTTGTTTGCAGTTCAAATTGTTTGTCATGACCACGCTCGACAGGTCCAACGAGTGATTGCAGAAATAAACTAGTAGCAGCTTCAATCAATAAGTTTCAACCAATAAGTTCACAATGAAACAAGAAAGGTAAGACACTATCATTTGATTCGTGCTTCTAGTGCAATGTCGTGGCGACCGTTGTTCGATCTTGAGCACCTCAATGTGTTGAGGGCTGCCATACCTGATCACCCGCAAGGGGCGGGTCGAGGAGGACTGGTTTGCCCCGTGAAACTGATCGAGAAGTCGCTTGAAGAATACAACTACGTGGCGGTAGACAGCAAAACCAGTGGCAATTGCTGCGCTCATGCGTTCACCCAAAGCGCAATAGCGCAAGGGATTCGCCCATCTTGGAAAAGGATGGCAGATCAAAAGCGTTGTTCCGACGCCAGAAAACTGGCGTGCGAATGGGCCTCGAAGCACCGAGATGACAAGTTCTGGGGATTGGCTTTTCGAGAAATTGTGGAAATCGTGGCCCGCCCATGGACAAATGGCTCTCACGGTTAAGGCTCACAGACTCGTGGGCTGACATATCCTTTTTGCAAGCCCTGGCGTGCTCCATCGGAGTAGATGTCATGCTAGTGGACGACCAAGGACCAGCGAAGCTTCTAGGCCAATCTCTCATGGTAGGTAAGCATGAGTGCGGTGGTTTGGCGCTGATGGTTTTCTTTGAACACCATCATTTCTGGCCGCTGCTCCCTGTGGCATCCCGTCCGACAGAAGATGTTGTTGTCAGCGTCTCGCCGGACAGTGTGCTTTCAAATCGTGGTGCCCAGATCTTGGAGCGCGACCTGGATTATGACGAAGTTGAGCCCAACGAGGTTGCAATTGGTTGCAGAGAGCAAGAGCTTCAACTCTGCGAAGCGTTGGCTGAGTGGCCCCCCCTTTGATTTGCCAAGCCCAAAACTGATAGAATGTTGCAAGACCCTTGGATGCATTTACGTGTAACTGCTGTTGCTTGCCGTAAGTCAATAATCTATGGCGTGGTGGCTCCTGTTGCTCAGGAATCTCTCTCGGCCCAACCCTGACAACGTGCCCGTGGGAGTGATGGCCAGAGCACGACGGTTTGCGATCATTCAGCTTGCCCGGGAAGACGCGGCAGAAGAGGCGGGTGAAAAAGAGATTGCAGTGGTAGAGCTTGCCATTAGTTGTTCAAAAGCTATTGTCAGGACATGGCACCAATTTCGAAGTATCTCAGAGCAGAAAGGGCCTTGAACGCAATTGCGACCATGCCTTGCAAGAAACTATCCATGCAAAGCGACGACGCAATGTCGCGATCTGTGTCCTCCAAATCCATTCTGCGTGTAGAGAGTTTTCTCAACATGACAAGTGTTGACGCTAAGCTGCAGTCAAGTTTGTTTCTTAAAACTTGTTTTGTGGAGCGCGGCGTGAACGCGCCCAAGGAAAGAGACCTCCAAGCAACTTGTTCCGTCGGACGCGAGATGCATCAGTGCCTGGAACCCTTCAAAGAACAGCCTGGAATCGTGAAGAAACTTTGTTGATGTAGTGTTCGAGTCTTGCGAATCTTGTCTTGCCTTTTTTTAATTGACCCTGAGGAACTGGCGCTTGCTGTGGGCCAGCCTTCCTCGTGAAAAACCGAAGCAAGTGCTGCTGGACATGATGAAGGAAAACCCTGGCGCTGTCAAGTTTGCAGGAATAAGGGTGTGCACCAGAGCCTTTCAGAAATTGTCAGGAGTTTCTGCTGGCGTGATCCAGGACATCAGAAGTAAGATTTCAAAAGGTGTCGACAACATTTGGCGCGAGAATGCCCTGGCCTGGATGGAAATGAGAAACCAATCCAAGGCAAGTCGATATCTCGACGTGAGGGCATGGCTAGAAACCTATGCCGAAACACACGGCGAGAAAAGCCCAATGAGTTTGAGGGTGTATTTGCCAGCGGGCCGGAAGTTCTTCTATCACGCTCAATACCAATACGAACGGCCGCTTGCTGTGATCATTTGATGTGTTTCATTGGTTGAATGCCGCTTCTTTGTTTTTCGATAGTATGATAGACCAAGGCAAGATCAGAACCTGGCCGCTTTGGATGGAAAGCCTGCTGACCTTAGTACGTTTCGCAAAGCATGGACCAATGAACTCCCTTGGATTCGCATTGCTAGCTCAGATTCTTGGCTGGTGTGTTTCTGCTTCTGATTGCTTAGCTGTTCTGGGGTGGGGTTTGATGAGGGTAAGGGATAAGGGATCCTTTTCTTGACGGTTCTGGCACGCAAGGAGTCCATGTTCACAGCCTGCTCTGCATGTACTTTCTTGAAGAGCTTACTTGACAAAACCCCACGAACCGATACAGAGATTTTGGCAGCAATCCGGAAACGTCTAGGACTGGACCAAACAATGAATTTGTGGAAGAATTTCACTTTGTTGTGCTTCGCTCGCAGGACAGCACTACAGCTTCCAAGGAGCCCAGAGGCTGGCCATTGCGAGATTGGTCGCGGACTCAGCCCAATGTTATTGCTTTTGTGTTTTTGCATGCATTTGTTCAAGCCTGAGGTATTTATCAATCGACAAGTGCAACCAGAACAAAACCATGTTGCCGAGTATCCATGAAATGTCTTCTAGCTGATGTTTTAGCGTTGATGCATGAGCAGCGGGCCCATCCAATTCGGCAATGCCAAGGTTGGCTACTTCTTTGTTCAAGCAGGGTGAACGCTTTGTGGTGGGTGTTGTGGGCATGCATTTTGCCGGCCCAAAATGTTTTTTGTTTGCAAATTGAGACCGAGCTTCAACTCACCAGCAAATCATTGAAGCGCCTGCCAAGGTGAAGATGAGTTTTGTTTGACGACGACATTGGAAAATGCAAGTCACGGCGCAAACTCCCAAGCCACCATGCTGACCAGCTTCACCGCATGCCTGGTTGCCTATTCATTGGCGCAGATAACACACCCAAAGAAACCAAAAACTCCACGGTCGTCACATGGAGCATCCGGCTTCTTTCTGTCCTGAGAGACACCAAGTTGAAGGCGGTGGAATTCCAATATCCAATCGTCGGACATACTCATGGCAGCCTGGACAGATTCTTCTCGAGACTCATAGTGTCCCTACGTGGACGAAGCTACATGACTTTTGATGAGCTTGAGGCTGTGGCATCTTCAGGTCTGAAGAGTTTTGCCATCAATTGGAATCACCATGGATCATCGCACGACTGGACGTATGTCAGGAAGATGTATGGACTTGAGTTTCATCGCTATCGCAATGTCCACTCCCTCCGTCTCGATATGGACGAGTCTGGAATTTGGATCAAGTGGAGGCAGTTTGTCACGGATGAGTCTTGGAGCAAACCGCAGTTGATTGTGGAGTCTGATCGAGTGCCGCTATTTGCGCATGCGCGTCCCCCAGTCGTGCCACATGACTTTGATGAGCCACGCAAAGCCAAATACAACAACTTTCTGGACAAATTGGAGACTTGTGCCTGATTTGGAGCTATTTGTGTTTAAACATTCAATGGCAATTCGCGACGCATGATGACTGACTGACACAGGAAAGCAGCCTGGCAGCATCTGGCCAACATCCACGGGAGCAGTTGGCAACTTTGAGGTCCTACGTGCTGGTTTGAGCGCGGGCCCATGTTTGGAATCTTTTCTGCGTAAACATGCGCAACCCCAAACTAGTTTGACGTGAAAACAACACAGAAACTGAGGAAACAATGATTGCAGACATGAGGGCGGCGCATTTGGGGCCACGCCAGATTGTGTCACAAGACCAAGATGCCTTGCAGATACCCAACGATGTGTACTACCACATATCCATGGGGTCCGACATCGGCCACATGCCACAAAACAGCTTGATGACAATCAGTGGCCTGGGAGAGGCTGCTGCTCCAGCCCAGAAGGCGTTTATGAGCCCTGGTGACTTTTGCATCGTAGCTGGGAAGGATCGTTTGCCAATTGTGCTTGGTGTCTTGATGAGCCTGTTGGAAGTCAGTGGTGAAGAAAACGGAGTGCTTCTCGGCAGTGTTACAATACATTTTGAATGCGGTTGTATGTGTTGGTTCATGATTCGTGCCATTGGTAGATTGGCATTGCAATGTTGTGAGGTTTTCTTGGTACTATCCTTTGGAGTCCCCGGAAATGAACTTCCGAGCGGGAAGGAAAAAGGAGGTGATCGACATCTTTGGGCCCTGGATCCCGTTCAATGAATCAGTGTCCCTTGCGGACGCCGAGCTCGTATTGCCGTCAGTCTTGCAACCGCCCAGCAAAATCCTGATGTGGGCGCTGGCTCGATGATTGCAAACCTGGAGAGGTGAAAATACCGTTTAGTGTGTTCGACGGTCTCATGGACGTCCACAAAATAGATGTCACGGGTTTGTCGCTGTCCGCGACCAAGCGTGGTAACCTGTACCGCGCGCATAGGTTGATGATTCCGCTGCAGTCTTGAGGGGAGCAAAATGGAGGGTCTGTGTGAGAGTATTTGCAATGTGCTGTGCTGCCCAAGCCATGCGTGCAGGAGTTTTTGTTTTCTGAAGCTATTTTGGTTCTGGTTTGCGGTTAAGGGTTAAACAACCTTTGCCGAACATGGCCCGCCGTGACGAGTTCGCTGAGTGTGAGGCCTTTATGTTTGACCTCTTCGTTGAACAGTTGGACATTATGTCGTGGCGCCGCAGGTTTGACATGTCCCACTCTCAGCCTTTAAACTTCGAGTCTTGGGCTCTTTCTTGTGAACCCGTTGCTGAGGCTTGAACGCTTGATTAGAGATTTGTCCAGGAATGATCGCATCGAAGATCTGGCCGAGTCCCTTAACTTGATGGCTGCAATATGGCAATATGCCAAGCTTTCTGGTTTCTATGTTCTGCTAGGCAAGGGCCTCATGGACCAAGGGTGCCATTGGAAAAGGTCCATGGATGTGTCGCTCTGCGGTCGCTTGTTTGCCTCAAGGGGGTTGCAATATCCGGGGTGATATGCAAAAGGGGTGCAACAGTAAAACGGTTCAACTGAGGTTTGTTTGGCGGCAAACGCAGCATCACATGCAGCAAGTTATTGATAAAGCAAGGGCCAACCATAATACGGTGGATCGTGCACTTGCAAGCTTGAACGTGATGCGTGCCGAGGACGGGGTGGGTTTGCTGTTCTTGAATGGATTGTTTCATAGTTTGGCAGCGGTCAGGATTTTGCATATGACGCGACTGCCCCGATTGGTGGTCTGATGTTTCATATCCTTCCCTGGTTTGAATACCCTGTCTTTGTCTTGGGCCGCTTGGATCGGCGTATTGCTCAAAACACTGCCAGTTGCCAGTTGCCACGTGAAACTGCTTCGAGGCCCAGACAATGCCATTGGGTTTCAACAATGTGGCTTCCTGATTGCTTGCTTAGAGGAGCCTGAACTTGCTGTGAAAGCTTAGCAGTTTTGTACAGAGTGTATGCGTAGATGTCATGAGATCACTTTCCCTCAGGGGGACGGGGGGAAGCTCTGCCGAAAAAGATATGTGGCGCTGCGCTGTACGTTTTTGGTTGTTTTTTTGTATTAGTGAAACAACCTTTGGAAGGCCATTTGGGCAGAGTATATAACCTCGGGGGGGTGCTGTCTTAATATTTTGGAGATGCCAGGTCTGGCGGGCTGGTCCCAGCATCGGCTGTGGCTGATGGATGGTGCCGAGTTGTTGGTGTGAATATTTGCTTTGACCTATTCGTCGGACGTCGGACGAGGATTTCTGACTAATAATTTGTCGGACGTGGATCTTTGAGCACTAGATAAACCCTTCCAACTCATAAGAGCACCAACACTCACTGCATCCATATCAGAAGGAGCAAGATTTGAGAGTCAAAACAAAGTGAGAGTCATTTTTGATAGCCTCATTGATATATATATATACTTAGAATTATACGAGGTCTATATTATATAGTATTAGGTCTATCTATATCTATATATATAGATTTATATGCTTACCTGTTTCTTTCGATGTTGTGGAAAAGTGTTCGTTTCTTCGGCCCAGGCCCCGGTGGCTGCCACGCTTCGAGCGCCCGAAGGTGCGGGGTCCATGTGGGGACCAAGAGGAGAAGGGGCGAAAGAGTAGTGGGGACTGTTGAAGAAGAAGGTCCTGTGGACTGTTGAATGGAGAAACACCTAACAGGGAGCACCAATACATTCCCAGGCTTGGGGGGTTCTATCAATGAACAGTCTACATTAGCGGGAGAAGAACTGATGTGCCTCTCAGAGAAGGGCAACAGCCGAGATCACAGACATGCCACGGCTTTCGCGATATCCATGGCGATTGGGTGACCCAACGCCATCACGTTCATCCAACGCCATCCGTCATCCGGATCTTCCCCTACTACAAGTCCCAGATTTTTCATCGTGATGTCACGAGGACGACCAAGCCTGGAAAGAAAGACAACTACCCAAATGCAGGATGAAATAGAGTTTCCAAGACGGATTTGGTGTATCGACTGCCAAGCACAGCTTCAGTTGCCAATCTCTTTGAAGCTTGGCCGAGGCTTCCGCATTGCTTGGGCCAGCATCTCAGACGATTCCGTCGGACAAGTTCGAACACCATGGGGGTTACACGCGCTTTCGACGCATCGACTTGATCTCTTTTTTTCGGCAACAAAATGGAAATCACATCCCCAGGTTTTCTCCACTTTTCCTTCTTCTCGCTCTTTGAAGCGCCCATCGAGGCGCGTGCTTCACCCGCTCGCACCGAGGACTGCAACTTCGAGGCCTCGCAGCTCGTGGGCCCTGGAGGGAGGACCTTGGAGTTTCTCCTGGCGCCTCGGCGCATCGCTGCCGAGAGAGTGTCCGTCCGGGGCGGTTTCTCGGTGTTCTGCCGAGAGAGGTGAGAGAGGTGTAATTACCTGAAAAAGGGGGATTTCTGGCTTTCCATTTCCGGTGATGGGGATTTTTTGTTAAAGTAATATATATATATATTTTTTTTTTTTTTCCTTTTTGGGGGTACCGCCGGGGGTTTGCCGGTGATGGATGAGTGACCTGAATGAAAGCGTGTGGATGAAGTGGAGGTGAGGTGATGTTTATGTTTCTTTTGAGTTTGTACCTGTGGAGGACCTTCCTGAAATGGCCTGAAATCTTGACAAACATGGTTAATTACTGTATCCTCGCAGTGTAAGTAGCCCATGGTAGCCCGAGATACTGCACGCTGTAGTACTGCAGGTGTAATGCGCAACTGGTAGGCTGGAAGGAGGCTCTGCTAGAATCTGGACATCTTCGATATTTTTGACGATCTATATATTGATGTGTCGGTGATTTGGGATAAAGGCGAGAACATAAACGTCCGTAAGCTCTTTTTGACTTGAAGGCCTTGGTACAAGGTGGGGACTTGGAGTGACTTGCCATCTCAACATCCCCCTGCAAAACCATCTCCACATATCTCAACCCTCCCTTTTTTCATCTTTTTTCATTTGGGACCCGCTATGTCAGCGACCAAACCCACCAGCTCCTTGAGCGCTCTGCCTCCGAGCCGCGCAGTCTGCGGTCCACTGAGGCGGGCTTCTTCAGCGACTGCGTGGTGATGCCGGACGGGCGATCCATCAGCTTCACCATCACCCGAGACATCAAGGAGACCCAGCCGGACCCGACCGAATGCAGCGCTAGGATGACCGACCTCCGATCGGAGAGGTTCGGGAATCCGCGGGTTTTCGACACACACACACACACATACACAGTACACATATTACATCTGCGCGCGCAGATGCGCGTGAACCTGCGCACATCCATCATGGACCTGGGTGTTTGGGAGTTGAACCATGAATTTTCATCCAACATCTCCACTTCTGGTGAGGCAACATGTCTTCAGATGAGGTTGGCACGGATGCAGGCAGTTAACCAGGATTGGTTTTGCTTCCTCTCCCGCAACACTTCCGCTTCATCCATCAGGCCGTGACATCCTGGACCTTCTTTACGATCCATGCGGTGATCCTTGGAGTGAAGTAAGAGGCTTTTGGGACCGAAAAACTGGTGCAACCAGCGGAACTGTTTTCAGAGGGAGGATTTTGATCATCCTTCTTAGTTCCCTTTGTTGCTTTGACATCCCCTTAAATATGCAATTCAATGGACTCAGAGATGATCAAACGAGCACTCTCCAAAGTCCCTTGGAAAGATACTAACTAACTAACTAACTAACTAACTAACTAACTCCCTGCAGGTCAATGACCTCATTTTACTGGAGTTGGTCATACAAAAACACTATTCAAGCAAGCAAACGACCTGGTTTTACTGGGCCTTTGGACTTGTAGGGACTAACTAACTAACTAACTAACTACAACTACGACTACGACTACGACTACGACTACGACTACGACTACGACTAC